GACGACGACGACGATGATGATGATGATGATGATGATGATGACAGACTTTTAAGGTATTTCCCTCAAAAATGCTCAAGTAGCTTAAATAGTCTGGTTATCACTAACTGTATTGAGATAGCAATTCCCAGAAATCTGAGCCAATATGGCTAAATTGTTGGACTCCAAATACAACCGAAGGACATTTGGTTAGGGAGGACTGATCTGGAATAAGCAGAACTATCTGAAGTTCTACTACACAGAGAGGTTTTCACAGTCAGAACAAATGATAAAAATGGCCTTTTAAGTGTTTAAAATAATTATGTGAATTAGCACTTAGAGAACATACATATGTTCATCTGAATGTTTCAACTCATATTAGAAATCAAACATGCTTTTTTTCCCCCAAAGGCCACAACTGTTGCTAAAATACAGTATGTGGAGGAATCAGTGTTTCTTCAAGGAATTGAAAGCCCAATGTGTCTCAAGTTTTCCTAATATGCACGTGCCATTTTTAGGCTTGACCATGCTTCATGACCTTTTTTTTAAATGTAGCATTATTCAAGATTATAATGAAGAGTATGTTCATGTCTATAGTCTATCAAAGACTTTACGGAATATTTAGTTATAACTAATAACAATGTTTATTTTTTTAATTCTTAAAACATATTTAAGCAACTACCTATTTTGCTGTGCCCTTCTTTCTGGTACAAAATAACTTAAAATCTTAATACTGCTATACTTGTAGAGGGAAGAGACACAGAAGGAATGATTTATTTCTTTCTATTGCAATGACATGAAGTATATGAATATATAGTGAATAAAATATTATACTTTTATGACTGTTTTATAGTTTGAATTTATGATTATACTGAAAACTAGAAGTATTGACATTTGGGCTATTATTTATTTCAAGAACAAACTTTAACTGGCTAGAACAGGCTAAAGAATTATCCATCACGACACTTACACACACAGGCAAAACTGACTTGTTCTTCTGTAAAGCAATCAGTCCAAGAAAAAAATAAAATTGCATACTGTAACTGAAGATGGCTTTCCAACAAAACTGAGACAATTATGTTACCACAAAAATGCAGTCATTAAATCTGGCAGGTGTCAGTACAGCAATACTAAGTGGTAACACATTATTTTAAAGTATTCTTTGACCCTTTCCAACTTTTAAAAGACCAGCAGATCTCTATATCCATAAATCCCAGAATTGAAGTTAAGTGTAAGTGCAATATGCTCACAGATACTTCATATTATGTTTGGGATATGTTTTGTGAAGAACTTCTTCCAATATAGTTAAGCATAATATGAAATATGGGATCTTTAATAAATATACATAAAAGAGTTCGAGTAAGAAAAATGTTACAGTACATCATACTTGATCAATGATCCCTTCTGTGCCCTTGAACACACAATAGCCTCAAAGAAGACTTTGTTTAAATCGAGGATCTCAGTTAAAAAAAAATTTAAAGTCTTAAATTTCAATTTAATTCCCAAAAGCTGACAAAAAATGAAGCATTTAATTTTAATCTTCTAACAGAAATAAAAAAGTCAACAGTACTAAGCACAGGCAGACAAGGTTGAATATTTCACAGTTCAATGACAATGAAGCCAGATCTCTTAATACTTCCATTTCTACAGTTCAAAATAGATGTAAAATATATTTAGCACCTGAACAGTTATATCTAGTCAGCTTTATATGTTTAAATGTCAAAAGCAAGTTGAGCCTGCAGTGAGCAGGGGATCCCATTGAATCAATCACACCAGAACATCAAATTTATTTAAATTATTATGATAAAATTGACTTAACCATTAATTTGCAGGCATTTTGTAACATCAGTACATCCTATGCAGATGCCAGTGAAAACAAAATAATTTAAGTCTCTACTCCCATATTAAATACAATGTAATGGTTTAACTTACCAGTTAGACTAATTAGGCTATATAATGCTAAAATCATGAGTAGTAATGCATAAATTCATTTTGTTTCATAAAGATATCTTGCAGATTTAATCCCATATTCCTTGGCTTATTTCTCTAATTACACAGGAGTAGACAGCACTTTGGGGCTAACAGACACATATGGAATATTGAAAGCATATCATGCCTGTTCATAAAAAGACTGCGATGCAGGGGAACTTTTCTGTTCACAAGAAGGCCACTGTGCATTCTGTCAAGCCTTTGTACTATGCATGATTAAAAAACTTGCTCTCTTAGTTCCACATTCCCAACAATACACAAGCAACTTTGTTAAGTAATTTGACTGCAAGAATTAGAGAGCTATTAATATTAAGATGTTTTCTATCTAGCAGCACACAGGAAACTTGGCATGTCACTCCTAAGGCTCAAATCCTCAGTCTGCATCCCCTGCCTTTTCAAGTCGAGAGATTGTTGGCTGCTTAGAGCCAAAGTTTTGTCCTATCTGTTCTATCATCATCATCATCATCATCATCATCATCATCATCGTGTGATTTTCTCCAGTTCTTTTTTTTCTATTCTGCTGCCTCAGGTACTGCAATGTTCACTATCCAGACGTTTTTGTCTTTCTTATCAACAATTGTTAAG